AGCCAGCCGACTGTGAACCGAAAGCTCTGTGAACAGTGAGCTATGGTAAACCTTTCCTCCTGTAACTTTGGAGGTCGGGCATTTTGTCTCAGCAATGAGAAAGAGACACATTCTCACATGCATATGAGCTTCCCGTCACTGTCACAAAGTGCCTGCCACAAACAAGGAAAGGTTTATCTTGGCTCACGTTTCAGAGGTCTCCATCCACAGAACCGAGTCTGCCGCTTTGGGGCCTGCTTCAAGGCAGAAACATGGCCGGAGGATGTGGGGCAAAGCTGACCACTTTGCGCACCCGGGAAGCAGAGGGAAAGAGCCAGAAAGGAAGGGGCAAGACGGGGATGCAGTCCCCAAGATCGTACCTCCATAACCCGCCCTTTTCGGCTAGGCCCCACCTAAGTTTCCATCCTCTCAGTGCCGTCCAACTACGACCTCAGGCGTGAGTTAATCCACTGACGAAGTATCCGGAGGCCTTCTGAAATGCCCACCTCTTAATGAGTTGAAGAGCAGACCTCCGGCAGGCAGCCTTATGGCATCTACTCAATGAGAGGCAGTGGGTAGCATACTCAAGGCAAATGTTCCATGAGAAGAAATGACTAAAATCAGACCTTGGGCAAAGACAGATTTAAGATATAGACAGAAAAAAATAGAAATGAGACCAGGGATCGTATTTAGAAACCCGGGGGAGAAGAATATCGCGAGTGAACATAGATTTTAAGAGATGGGCTGGCAAGATAGCTCAGCAGACTAAGCACTTGCTTTGGCAAGCTCAGGGACCAAGGTTCGATCCCCAGTTCTGCACGCTGCGCTGGGCCCACCCCCAGGCACTCTGAGCCAGGGACTGAGTCCAGGCATGGTGGTGCATACCTGTAATCCCAGCACTGGCGAGGCTGAAAACAGGAGGATCACTACAAGTCTGAGCTGTGTAGGGAGACCCTGAACCAAATACATAAAATATAAATAAATAAATAAATAAATAAATAATAAAAGAGGTGCTGTGACCCGGGTGGGAATGTCTCCAGAAAAACCTGTGCTCAGAGGTGGGACTTGTGGGGGCGCGCTGGGTAAATTCCTTCAGTAGGGAGCCACACACAGGGGGGCTGTAGCGAGGGCGTGCTCCGCTCTAAAAGGTACTTGCCTTCCTGCTTCTTTCCTGGGTGCCCAGACATGAGTAGCTGTTTGTCCCCGTTGCCATCCCACTGTGCCTGGACAGAGACCAGAATAAACATCCGCTTTGTCTGCTTTGTGAGTGTTGGGTACACTGTGTCAGCCACAAGGCAAGTGCCTCAGACAAAAAGTCATTTCAGGGCTGGCCAGACAGCTCAGCGGACTAAAGTGTCTGCTTAGGCAGATGCAGTGGCCGGGGTTCGATCCCTGGCACTGTGCCGACCCTGCCCCTGGGCTGTGCTGAGATGCGGATTGGGACTGGGCGTGCTGGCGCGCACCTGTAATCCCAGCGCTTGGGAGGGAGGCTGAACACAGGCGGATCACTATGAGTCTGATCTACATAGTGAGACTCTGTACTGAAATACAAAAAAAAAAAAAAAAAAAAGACAAGAACAGAAAACCTTGGGAAGTGAATAGCAAGGACTATCCCTCAGGTCTGGGAACAGAAGGAAAGAAGCAAGAGTGCAGCCCTCTGAGTGCAAAGGCGGGATGTGGGCGTGGCGCACGACCACGCAGGCACCGTCTAGGAACCGGGTGAAGTGAGGCCAGGGAGCACGGAGCTGAGGAGAAAACCGAGGACTCCGCGCAGCCGAAGGCCCTTCTGGTGTTCTGACTTCTGCCCAACCCTGGCTTGCAGACCTGTCGCTTTCGCAGGCACTTCTGCTTCCCTGGAGGGCCTGGTCCTTTCCTATCCCTCAGCCTCTGACGGGACATCCTGACCCCCACTTTCTCCAGAAGTCCCCCTACCCAGGCTGAGCACGGCCTTCTCTCCTGGAATCCCCAGGCATCCTCAAGTTCGCTTGCTTTGGCCCGTCCTCTGCCGCACTGTAATGCCTGGTCACTTACCTCTTACTCTACAGGGAAGTTTTACAGCTATGGAAACAGAAGCGAGGGCTGGGGAGATAGCTCAGTGGAATAAGTGCTTGCCTGGCAAGCACAAGGTCCTGAGTTCAATCCCTGGTACCAGAAAATAAATAAATAAAAAAGAAAAGAAACAGAAACTTACTTATTTCTGTGCCTTCTGTGATGAACACAGAAGCTGAAACATGCTCCGCTTAGGTTAGTTTAACTAAATCACAAGGACAAACGACTAAAATTATAATTGATTTCTAACTCCAGTAAAACATTTTAATTAGTAACTGAAGAGAGCATCTTCCTAAGGATGCACCTCTAGTGAGATTTAGTCAAAAGGATTTAAAAAATGCAGAGAGACTTATCTTGGTAGTGATATAATTCTGAAACTGTTTCATGTAGAACATAATAATAGGGTATGTTGATATTGCTGAGGAACAGGATTTTCACTGTGAAAAGACACACAAAGGTGCATGTGACAAGGTAGAGAAGAGTCAGGGGTATTACATTTCAATTGGAAATGTACTCACGACCTGGGCAGGGGGGTTTGTTTAGTTCGGTGGGACTCAGACGATTCCAGGGCCTTCACACTGAGCTACATCCCTGACCCTTTTTTACTTTTTCTTTTCTTTTCTTTTTTGTATTTTAGGGAAGGGTCCACAGGGTCTCACTACTAATCAGACTCATGATCTGCCTGTTTACAGCCTCCCAAGAGCTGGGGTTACAGGAGCACGTGCCACCATACACAGTCTCGATTGCCATCTCAGTGCACCCCAGCGGTAGGGCAGGCCTGGCAGGCCCGGGGATTGAACCCAGCCCTTTGCTTTTCATTTTGAAACAGGCTCTTGCTAAGGTACAGAATTGCCCAGGATGGCCTCAACACTGGTATCCTCCTGCCTCAGCTGGCCAGCGTCCTGGGATTGCAAGTGTATAAAAGCCATGCCTGGCTATGATTTTTATTTTATTTTTTTTTATTTTTCCCCCCCTTCCCCCTATGATTTTTAAAATATAGTTTGAGTCATGGTGCACCCCTTTTTCCTAGATCTTAGCTTTTACATAAAAGGCAACAGGGTTCCATAAACAGCTCTTTCTGATCTGAAGCAGTAAAAGAGAAAATGAGCCTCATATGTTTTGCTGTTCTGAAAGCAAATGGTGCTCCCGAAATCATGGGAATAGGTCAGAGAGAACACAGCTCGATAGAGCTGCTTGTGACCCCAGCTCTTGAGAGGCTAAGACAGGACTGCCATGAATTCAAAGCCAGCCTGGGCTACACAGAAAGTTCAGGGCTACCCTGAGCTACATATTGAGACTGTCTCAAAAAAAAAAAAAAAAAAGAAAAAGAAAAAAATTTTTAAAAAAAATTGGGACTTTCAACCATCAATTGGAATAATAAACTAACATGCTGATTTTAAAATTCCATGTCCGTCAACTTGCTATGAAAAAATATCTGAAATAAACAAAAAATGAGGAAATGTTTATTCTGACTCACAGACTGGTTCTCTGTCATGGCAACGTGGCCCCTCGGTTTCGTGTCTGTGGCCAGGCAGCGTGGCCCAGACGAAATGCATGGTGGAGGAGCCCAGTTTGTCCCATGGTGACCAGAAAGCAGAGACAGAACAAGGCAAATGAAGGGCTGAGCACACCCCAATTCCCAGTCCTACTACTACCGTTTCCCAGTCGTGTCGGGGACAGCTAGACCCAGACTTGGCAATCCGTGAGTTCACCGGGCCAACCAGAGGGCAAGGCGCAGGGAAAGGAAAAGAAAAGTTAAGCTTTCGAGGACACCAGTTAACACCTATCTGATCCACACACAACAGGTGATAGAGATGGGTTGTCTTGTGACACATGCGCGCACACACACAAGTGCACACGCACACACCATGCCACTGTGAAGAAGAAGGATCCTCGCTGCTGCAGAAATCATGCACTGAAATTCTTCTGGGAACCAGGACACTCCGCCATACAGCTTCACTCCATCCTCCAGTAGGGATCTGCTCACTGCCACTTGAAATGTTTGCTGTTTTGATAAAATAAAAAAAATGGCCACAGAATCTCCAATAGTGGGACAGCCTGACACTAAGTAGTGTGTGTGTGTGTGCGCGCCAACACTGCTTCAGTTGAATTATGAAAAAAAAATCAGAAAACTGATGAATAAGGATCACTGTGCAAGACACGAGACCTGTAAAAGTTTTATATGATGAAAAATAGATGAAAGCAAGAGATAGGTTAAAATAGAATAAAGGCAATGCATGAACTTTGATCCATATTTTAAAAGCAAATAAAAAGCAAACAACCACAAAAGACATTTGAACAGATTTAACTATGGACTATGTTCATAATAATAAATGTTCATTTTAAAAGATGTGATCATGGTGTTGAAAATATGTAAAAAAATGCTATTCTTGGAAAGTTAATGACAGGCAATTTGCAAAGGAAAAAATACATGTATCCATGTATGGGGGGGTAGGTGTGTGTGAGCACACGCAGACGTGT